CAGTATAAAAGAACAAGTTTAACTCAAACTGACAGTTTCATTTGTTGTAACAGAGACTGTTTATAGGATGAACTTTCAACTTATTTATGTACTATACAATGTAGTAATAATCAGTTAGTATAATAATTAGATCACAAGATAATAAGTTATTACTCTTTAATACAATAAACAGTTATATAACGATAGAGGGTTTACGATTTTTTTGAGTTTCACAATTGCGTCGCAAAATGACTGGTTTTAAAAAATTATTCAAAAGCAAGAAGTAATGAACATCTGTTTTGTCCTAGTTTGGGACGTCTCAGTGGTGTGTAGGCATAAATGTGTAAACCACAGGATGGCAAATCAATGGTCAAGAAGTTAAATGCTTTCACTGAGAACTGGATGTCCCTAGTTCTCCGCCCTTCTGAAGGTAAGTATACACTACCAAGGACTCCTTTACCGAGAAGAAATAGCTATCGGATATTACCTGGGTGCCCAATGGTGATATGCTTTCTGATTGAACGCTACTTTGTTTTATCTGGTCGTCGGAATCGTTTATCACTTATACTTGCAAGTCGAGGAACCACTGTAATTCCTTCGACGTAAAAGTAAGACCACAAAGACTGGTACAAATGAAGATATATTAGCCGGGAAAATATGACGACGATGATCCAAGTCGAAAATATACTCATATATTGATTCATACATATATTTCGATTAATAATTAGGTTGAAATCACATATATGAAAAATACAGTTATAACAAATCATATGCTATACGTCATGCTGAATATAGTTCAGACCAACTGGATACAAGAAAATCGTATGTTATGCACAATAAAATGTCATACGAGAAAACAAAACAAATATTACACTAAATAATCATTACATTAAATTAAAATGGAATTAATGTTGAACAATAATCATATTGAGTAAAACAATGTAATTTTGTCTTTTCTTCCCGTCATAAATGGCTACCTAACTTAGATCACTCCATAGTGTGAACTATGAAAAAACAAATTATGATGTAACATTTATGCATAAATAAGTAGCGAGACAAATATTTGATTTCACAAGTTGAAATCATGAGTCAATTGAAGCTAGACCACCATGGAAAACCTGGAAGCACTGGACGGCCGTTTCGTCCACAAAACCCATTCTGAAAATATTTGATTGTTTATACGAATATTCGTCAAGATTAGAACGAATAGTTTGACAGTAATTGAGCGCCGAGTATAGAGAAGTCATTATATGTGAAGATTATATTTGAAATATTCTCAGCGATTGAAAGTTAACTAATTCCAACGTTTCGTCCAGCTAACTTGTCTGGACTTCTTCAGGGTAATAATCAAAATCAAAATTCTTTGATTGTTTGTTCAAATAGTTTATTGTTAAAAGTATCTGAAATGAGTTTAATTTGCCAATAAACTAAACAAATCTTCTTATCATATTATAATTATAAGCGATAGTTTATTCGACTCGAACTAGTTATTATTTATTTTAAAATAGTCTGTTTTTTTAACTATTACAGTCATATGATTATTTATTGTATATGGAAAGTATATTTCATTTAGTTATTTGAACACATAAATATTGGTATAAAGGAACACCGAATACATATACGCCACACAAGTTATTTGGTTTGTGTGTGGGCTGTGATACTGCTCGTTGCCCAAACCAATGCAGGTGGTATTCTTAGGTAGCCATATCCGGATACTAGAGCCCATGTGCAGCATTGGTTTGGAATTAAGGTTTTCCAACTCCCCTAGATGGATCCTTCGTATCCACCAACCCGGTTAAAGCACCCGACATTCGCTTTTCGTCCTCTCAGTTTCATAGACAACACCCACGCCACGAGAAGGCAGTGAGTAGGACTTTCCTGACAGTGGCTGTGTACGCGTGGCCATGTGAGAACATTTTGATAGGGAGAACCGACTCCCCCAACCCTCAGCCGTACCAGGCCATGTTTTAATGAACTATTGTATTTAAATTGTAATAAGCTATGTCATCTACATATTCGAATAGTTAATTAGTTGAATTAATTTTCGTAACTAGTATTAAATAAACATAAAATCCATGCGATGGTTTATAATTCATGATTTATTGTAGTTAACGAGAACACAGAAGTGGAGACAACCGAATGTATTTGAATACAAAATTACAAAATGTCTTAGTCAAATCTGAGAACCATACAGCAAATACTTCACCTTCAAAATGTCAATCAGTTGTCTCAGATTTGGTTATTCCTTCGTCTCCATACTAATCACTCTCTTTTCTCGTTCTCTTCTCTCCGATTTTCTTAAGCTTCTATTGTTGATACATACTACTTATATCTGTCGATATCAGTAGCACTCACCATAGTATCATATAATTCATACTAATTAATAAACGATATTAACAAATTGTAATAAAACAAATCTGTCTCTTTTCTTTTTTAAAGAAAGAACAACGCTGTTCAATAATCCCATATTTACTAGTTAATTACCTTGAAATAATTAACTCATAACTGTTTTCTTTATTATTGCTCAGTGTTATGAAATATTATTGTGGGTTTTTTCCCCCAGTCTTTTATATAAGCCTTATTTAATTGTAAAAATAAAAAACTGTAATCATAATCATAATCATAATAAAGATAGTGATTATTTTTATCAATAAAGTGATTAATTGTCTGTTTATTAAAGTTATTATATACAAGAAAGAAATTAATACATCAATGATGAATAAAAAAATTTCATCATAAACAACAGAACATTTAGGACATAGTTTCCCATAGTAACTAGATGAATATTTTTTTATTGGAGATTAAACTTATCGGAATATTGTATAACCATAATTATTATAAGCAAAGATGGATAGTGGCTAGCAGTGGAATCCAGGACGCGCGTTTCGTCCTGTTTGGGACTCGTCAGCTGGATGTACGTGCATCTCAGAGTTGATGTTCACTCTGGGACTAGAACTCAGTACCGTTCGGTTCAAACGCCATCGCGTTATCCACTTAGCTACTGAGTCCTGATAGCCACTTGCTTATGCAATTGGTTGAAGTTTAATTCACTTGATATTGTTTGACTTGAATCTTCCCATTGATGTTTTAGGACTGAAATTGATCAGTTATATGTATTAAAATCATAATATGAATTTATTCACAAATAGGTCATAGTGTTAGATTCTTTTTTAGGAACAATAAACATTATATGGTTTATGATAAATCTCCTTTTTAAATGTCTTAAGTATGATGTTGTTGTTGTTGTTTTATGCGTTTAGTTTGAAAAACAAACAAATGCAAATTCAGAAAATATATAGTTCACATGATAGAATAATTAGTTACTTAATCAATTAGACCTGATTATTTTTTTGTCAGATATCATTATTCAAAAGAACTGTATACATAAAAAATAACGAAATATATTACTTATAGTAATTATGGTTTTACATGATATGTGAATTTGAAAAGTATATGAAACTGTTGATTATTATTCATTTAATAGAAGATTTAATAAAACTGTAAAATAATAAAGTTGATTTGAAAATATCATTCAATCCATTTGATTATGTAATAAGATTTTAAAAGGGATGAAGAATATTATTTAAGATTATTAGATGAACAAATGGTTGGAATTTAAAATAATTAGTCCCTTTGATAAATTTCGATCATGTAATAAGAAGATTTAGATTATTAGAACTATGTGCTATATAAGTGTAATACATTTCGAACAATCTTATTACACATAATTTACTTGTTAAGAACATTTATGTATAAAAATTAAAGGTCAACTAGAAAAGTTAAAGGTAAGCTATAACAAAAAAAACGATAATGATAAAGTACACAAAGACAATGTGATTACCACTCCGGATAATAAATGAGTATTACTAGGGTAGGTTAAGCATAAGGATGAATTGTTTTTGAACGCATAAAGGTGGTTTCAATTTCCGTATAGCCAAGGCTTAAATAAACCTAAGTATACGTCTTCGAAAGCTTTTGTATAATATTACAAATACTGACTTGATGTCAACCTTATGACTAGTCTCAATCAAATGTTTTACAATGCGTTCAAAAACAGTTCATCCTTACACCTAGCCTACCCTAGTAATACTCATTTATTATCCGGGGTGGTAATCACATTGTTTTTGTGTACTTTATCATTATTATTATGATTATTTTGTTATGACTTACCTTTAACCTGTCTAGTTGACCTTTAATTTTTATATATAAATGTTCTTAACAAGTAAATGATGTGTAATAAGATTGTTCGAAATGTATTACGCTTACATTGCATATAGTTCTTCATCTTCTTATTACATGATCGAATAATAAATTCGTTGAAAAGAGATCCCTTCGTTGAAATGCGTGTTTTAATTTTAATGTTTAAATGGGAACTATCTGTCAAATGATCGAAATTGTTGAAAATGATTTATTATTATTGATTTAAGTAAATTAAAATTAATTTTTACAATGTTGACATCCAATTGTCTTTATTAAAAACAAACAAATAAATTATACATTAATGATAAAAATTAGTACATATATAAAGGAATTATAGTACACAAGAATGAAATGGATTCATTTCCTGTCATAATGTTTAGTTATCTTTACTTTATAAAGTTGTCATTTTTAAAAAAATGCACCATAAAACCAAATGTTTTAAAAAGAAGTAAAATACTATGAGGGGGGTAGGTTTACATTGTATTATATTTCCAATTCATTATATTGAATAATATAATGAACTTTAGAAGATATATGTATAGACTACTGATTTCTTTTCATCAGTAATACTTTAAATGAACTCACTTGTTTTTTTTGCCAAATTTAACAAGAAACAATCATGTCATCATAAGGAAATAAAAATTAGATAGAATTTATTGTATAAATGTATATGCAAATGCATATGGATTACAATATTTATGTATTTGAAGATAGTTCTGTTTTACTTTAAAATTGTTTGAAAAGATTAAATTATCAAAATTCACTTTAATTTGTTTTCTATTTACAATTACAAAGTTTGTCAATATCTTCTTTGGGATGAGTTACGAACGATTCGTTTCTATAATTTGACATAGAGATATACCTAAACATGTTTCAGGTAATGTACCTTGTGCAAATATACTTATCCAGTAAATAGTACTCATTATACAAAAGCATACAGTTATTAAAGTTTTCAATCCTGTTAAACAATAAGATGAAGGATAATTATTTACATTAAAGTTATGTACATTTATGCATGGTGTTACAGATGAACTGCACAAATGCTGATGTCGACAAAATACGTTGAAAGCAGCAGCAGTAGGAGATGATGATAAATTAGCATGATTATCATTATTATTATCAGTGAGAAAATGTGACTGGCATACATGACAATCAGGTTGATTTAAATCCCCACCTAATAAGTTGACATTATTAACTCTTCGGGAATTTCTCCACCTTAATCCACGAAATGTACCATTATTAACTCCATTACCGGATTCTGAACTACCTGAGCATAAATAATTGTCACCATAGTTCTCCTGTGAAATTGTAATTATAATAGAAGTAGAACATTATGTAGAATTAGAGAAATTTACGTTTCATCAATGGTCATCTAAATTCATTACTTAATTACAACAGATATTATTATCTTTAATGACAAACAGATAAATGCAAGAACTTGCTAATATATATATATATATATATATATATATATATATATATATATATATATATATATATATATATATCTATTGATGCATTGTTTTGTACAGAAAAAATATTCTGCTACATGACTGACTATTAATTAATGTATTAATCATGTAGTATAGGCAGGATAAAACCTATTTACTCATCGTTGTATAGACTAACCTATAGTAATCCATCTGTATGATAGACTTATAAGTGGTACTCAAGACAGTACATGGTGAAATATAATTAATAATGACTATGTAAAGGATATGATATCCTAGAATAGTTCACAAATAATTATAAATTAAGATGTCTGTTGATAAGCTAGGTACAGTCTAAATGCAATGAACATTGATAAATATGATACTATTTATCTATAGATTGTAGAATATAAAGCACATTAGAAGTGATATTTTATTACTATTTAGAATACTAATATTGTTTCGACTAAAAAATGCATTAACCAATTAGAAAATTAGGTCGTATCCATCGTGTTTAGTAAACCTTTGCACTTAAGACGTGATGGCAATTTTATATTGTAAGTTGTTGATTGAGATTATGAACCAGTTGATGTTAGACCACTATTGGAAACCTGGAAGCACTGGACGGCTGTTTCATCCTATCATAGGGACTACTCAGCAGTGCGCATCCACGGCCCCACTCGCAGGATTCGAACCCGGGGCCTTTGGTCTCGCGTGCGAACGCTTAACCTACTGGACCACTGAGCCGGCATCTAATCGTGTTAGTGACTAACATCAAACAATCCACGAAATTAGCGACCATCTCCCATTGTACTTAGGTAGATGCCTGTTTCTACCCGACACGGTTTAGCTCCAACGGTGGTCTAACATCAATCAGTTTATGATTTCAATCAAAAGCTTAATAATCTCCACAACCCCTATACTGATGATTGTATTTTGTGTTGATTTTTCAAATTTTTTTAAAATGTCAACATTGTTTATTTTCTTGACTTTGTTGGCTTATATGGTGAAATGACTTCCCTATCGATTACACGTTTTTTTAAGAATTTTAATATAACCTTTCATTTAGTGAAATAATAATTTAGTATGTTTATGAAGTTATTTCATTCCGAAGGCAGTTTAAAATACAGACTGACTGCAACTAGAGCACAATTTAGCACCATTAAGCAGTAGTTAGATATTTCTGTCTGGTCTGACAGACTGCAGTACTCTGCATGGGCGAACATACCACTGATTAATCCCAGGAATTTCGTCTTCTTGATGATGGTGTTACTTTTAGACCACCGCATTGATATTTAATCGTTAACATCTCTAAATTCAGTCGATTTGTGATAGCGGACGGTCGGATAAACGCACGTACTTTTCATTAAGAAGATTCTATGTAAAAGTCTCCATGAAGTCTAAACATTTTGATATTTTTCATGATATTACAACAGAACTTTAGTTTCTAATATTTTGAATTGTCCCGTTCAAACTCCAAAGTGTTATTTAATTAGCTATTGAGTTCAGATACCCAGTTACTTGTACAAAGAGATAAAACGATCGTACTAGATCCCACTTCTGGCCACATTCCATCTATTCTATATAAATGTTATAACAATGGTTAAAGTTTGAAAATACCAGTCACTGACTCAGTTGATATTGTTAAATCTGTTTCTATGAAAAAGAATATGAAAAGATTCTTGTTTATGCATAACTTTAATCACTAAAATGGCTAGGTGAACTTACTCTCTTGTTGGTTGATTGGCCCATTGCTTGTGTAAATCCTAGAGGTCCAGGACTATTATTTGCAGATGGTTTGTTTGCAATATTGGTATGGCTTGGCATGCATGACCACTTCCACCAGATAGACCACAACTACTGTTACTATAACAAACGGCTGTACCATTTGATGAAATAAATCCTGTACTGGTTCTTCCTGCTACACAACTAGTACATGATCAGGGCATCCACCACAATTTCCACAGCACCCATAAGTTTGTATTAATCCTGGTCCATTCATTCGTTCATTAACTGGACCCTCTGCATTAAAACTTGTTGTGGTTGTTTTATTCTGATTCAAGCCAAATGACGACAAACGATTCAAATGTTGATATTTTCGTTGAAGAAATCGACAAACAAACCGATGATGAATTAAAACAAATAAGTAGATTAAACAAATTGAACTTGAACACATTAAACACCATACATTAAGAAATCCAGATAATTTAGAATTATTTAAGTTTTGTTCATTCATCCACAGCCAAAACGAAATTGAAAATAAAAATAGAATTAATTGTGTACAACTAAGTTATGTGTACCCAGTTGATTTGTCCATAGTAGTATAATAGAAATTAATACAAGTAGCATTGGAGGTAAACTACCTTGTAATATTCTGCCACTTTGTGAGAAACAAATATTAATTCCAAGACTTTGATCTGGACCTATAAATTCATTAGAAACATATGATAACGATTTCAATCAAATAAACTTTGATTAAACTAATTCTGCATTAATTAAAATATAAAATTTAAAGCAATTAGTCCCTTTGATAAATTTCGATAATGTAATAAGAAGATGAAGATTATCAGAACTATGTGATATATTAGCGTAATACATTTCGAACAATCTGATCACACATACTTGTTAAGAGCATTTATATATAAAAATAAAAGGTCAACTAGACTGGAAATGGGGTGAGAGGACATAAGGACAATAATAATAAGATTAATAATAATGTAAACACAATCCGAAACCTAATCACTCTGGATAATAAGTCAATATTACCAGGGTAGGTTTAAGGTAAGAACAAACTGTTTTTGAACACACAAAGGGGGTTTGAATTTTCGCATGGTTAAGGCTTAGTATACGCGCTTTTACACTTTTATACAACATCACAAAGGCCGAGTTAGCATGAAACTTTAATTCACTTTTGAATTAGTTGGGAGGGGGGCGGCTCAAATTATGGCACTTATTTTGAAATCGAGTCGTTTGAAAGTAGACGATTAGTGTTATCTTGGATATTATGTGAAGATGGAGTTGATTTACGTGTGACATAGCAGAGATTATATAAAATCATTTGGATTGTTGACATTTAAATATTTTTTATCGAAAATAGTCGACTGAAAAGTAATTTTTTGGCTAAAAAGATAATACAATCCTAATTGAGATCATTTTATAATACCGTATTACATAATACAGTGTTATTTATTACGTTTTTTGATCCAGTGGATTGACATGTCCTTTTTGAGTTATTCTTTTCAAGAGAGTTAATTTCAGTTGTCAATTCCGACTAAAATGTCACATGATAAGGCTTGTATGTAAAACAAGGAGTTAATACACATAAATCTTTATAGATAATTGCTTGAACGATGGAACGCTCACTTGTAAAATCGTCAATTTAATTTGAGATGGTTTAATAAGTTTTAGAAGGTTATAAACTTGCTTCAAATATCATAGTCTGCTGAAGACCTTAGAGGAGAACTTGAGATCGAAATTGAAATTGCTAGCTTTTAAATGCAAATGATTACTTCGCAAATTGTGCGTACTGATTTCTGGCGTAACGGCTAATATAGTAATTGAAGTTATGCCCACCTGATGTTTCTTAGCAAGTTATGATAGTCTCAGTGGGTTGGTGAGTGAATGTACATCTTCCTGAATGGTACATATTTACCAAGTTTTGGTCAGTGAACATTTCCAGCTTAGCAAAAATGTATCTAATAAAAACAAAATGAACATTTCACTGTATGATGACGATATATCCATTTAGAACGAGTCAGGTTTTGACAATTGAAGCTAATAAATGATTAGTTAATGTAATCAAAGGATCATATATGGTGGGTTTTATAATACAAAATCAAGGTTCGTGCCAAATGGGAAAATTCTATTCCCCTTCTTAAGAAATTACTGTAAGAAATTCATCTTTAGGAGTTTATAGTTTGCTAAGTTGCTGACAACCTTCGGGTACAAGTAATTTACCCACCAGTAATTTTGAAAACAAACCTTATGTCACGTACCAGATTTATCAATATGTTCATCATAGCGTTTTGTCACACTTAGATAAGATGATTTTCTTTGTACATCATTTGAGAGCAGACAACATTTACGTTCAGTCCACTTGATGATCGGTTGTGTTTTCATAAAGCCTTCTGAAAAATTAATAAGACAATGAAACAGTACACTAAATTAAAGAGTAATCAGTGATTAGGTAACTTTTAATCACATCTAATGAAATGCTAAATATATATAACAACAACTGAAAAAAACAATTACCAAATAACAAATTAACAAATATTTTACAATAAAATCAGCTTCATCATTCTGTCTATAAGTTTCAGCTGTAAAATACGCATTATAAAATGCATATAACTTGTAGTAGGTGACGGTCATTCTGATGTATGAAGTAACTGTATTGTAATAATAGATATTAGTTGGTTTTGAAATAATGACCAAATTTACTGTGTATTATGCACGGTTCCATAATCAATAAAGGTGCATGATTGAGGATTGATAAATCTAGCTTGTAATGGTTACCCTAACGATAATAGTTGACAGTTAAAGAAATAAGCTGGATTATTGACAGTTCTTTAGTACTTAAAAACCTAAATCATGTTCATATGAATGCTTTAATATACTATTTCTCTTAATAGACAGTTGATTTCATTGTGTTCATCAAATCTGGAATTTATCAATTTACTAAAAATCCTAACGAGTACAAAAAATACATGTTACAATTTCCCGCTGTGAAATAAACTTTATAAAGGATACACGAGTTTTAATGGTGCCCTAATATTTACATATTATTCAATAGTTCAATAAGGCTAATTAAGACCATTATTAAGATGTCATTTAACTGTGAATACGTTTTGATTACTAAGTAGGCGTCATAAATGTTTATAACCAATGTATAACATTTATTGTATAGCGAAAGTATTCCCTTTTTTTTTGGAATACATAATAAATAAACTGTTTTTAATTTTAATCTTTGTAGAATCATACTAAAAGTAGGATTGTCATTTTAGAATAGAACTTTGAGTGTTTCAACAGGAGATCTTTATTCTTTTTATTCTTTTCTTTTTAACAAAAACAAATATGTTGCCATGTAAACATAAACATTTAAGCGGTTCTAAACAGAAACGATTACCATTTAACTATTTATTCTTAAGGTTTGATATTTTACCCAGAATAATCCAAGTAAAGTATTTTATAGTGAAGATAGTTATTATTTTTTCTAAAAAACAACATTCAATTCCGATGGGTTTACCGTCATTTTTATATAATGAAGTAGTATAGTGAATGGCGTCTACAGGGTGGTAGTAAAAGTAGAAAGACGAACTCACCTCTTTATTTTGCTACTCACCAAAACGTTTATACTCAAAATTGGAGTTATTGAAATGTTATGATTTACTTCTAAGATAATTTCTTTTATTTAGAAAAAAAAGAACGGTAAACTTCCGTCTATTATTCATCTATGAATTTATTTTATTGTTAATTGTTTAAGATTTTTCATGGATAGCAATGAATCACAAAGGTTATAGCCGGCTTACTTTTAATTTGTCACAATAAACAGGTGACGGGAATTTTATTTATCGATGAAACAATTGTCGTCAGACATAGGTGTTATCATTTATATTAATCAGAATTGATATTTGATGTGAAGACTCTTGTAAAAATCTATCTCATCTTACTGTATAAGTATTTGACAAAAACAAGTACAAACAATTATCCATTATCAATTATTTTTTTAATTTTTTCGTAATGTCGCCTATCTAGTTTGAATAGATGTATAAATCATGTTATAACCATGTTATTTAAATGATTTAAGGAGAATGCTTTTGCGATTTTCTAAAATACAAACTAATATTAAATAGAGAAATGTTAAAAATCGGAACGTTTTGATCAGTCGTTTAACGCTACCCTTGAAACTTCACTGATGAGACTATAGTGTGTACTACTGATGTCGACAGATATAAATAGTGTGTATCATCAGTAGAAAGTGAAATGTCTGACTGCAGAAAGTTAAGAAGATCGAAGAAAAGAGAACGGGTACAGACAATGATTGGTATGGAAACGAAAGAACAATAAAGTCTGAGACAATTGATTGTCATTTTGCAAATGAAGTATTTACTGCATGGTTCTCAGATTTGACTAAGATATTCTGTAACTTTGTGTTCGAATATATTTGATTGTTCCTGCCTATGTTCTCGTTCACTACAAGACTTTTTAAACTAAAATGAAATAGCTGTTTACAAACTTCTTATAACTTAAAATTCTTTAAGATGATACAAGCCCAACCTCATGAATTCATGCCGTCAGAATGTATTTTCATTGTACATTTAGTGTTAAACTTATACGGAATGATCCATCCATGCTTTTCGAACATGTATGAATTCATTGTAGGATGACTATTCTATTTAAATTTTAAAATGGCTGGATCGTTCCTCTGAAAACTAATATGATTTTATTCTCTTAAAGTCGATATTTTAAATGAGAATAAAAAAAAACTTGTTCATTTCTGAAATTTTAGCAGCTCATCAATTCAAACTTATTATTCTGTTCATTTCCTTATTCTATTATGATATTAGTACCTCTTTTAAACTTACATACTCAGATATTGAAAACACTTAAAGAGAAATGACTTTTCAAAATATCACCGAATATGATTAATCAATATTGTTTACTACCTCTTCATAATTGTTATCTTAGTCTAGCTCCTTTTATTTTCTTGATATGATAATAGACAGAAAATCTCTAATGAACAAAAGATATCAACTATCTCTCTCTGAACTTCATAATAAAATAAATGATTAAAATGATTTCATAATGTCTTGCATAACAATGTTACATAAATGTTATGTAAATATAATCAGAATAAAACATCAGATTCTGAATAAGTGGATACACTCATTTTGTTTGGTCATCACCTATGTAATACGTTACTTCGACTTTAGAGCTGATAAATTTATTACTGATTTATTAATTTATTGATGAACAAGTCTTATTTTAAAAGTGAAATCAAAAGAAAAGTTAACTTGATTAAGAACATAGTTATATTAACCTCGATTTTATGTGGACATATATGGTTGGCAAATTTGTAGATGAAATTCTTTTGTAATTTTTATGATCTAAAACTATTGGCTATTTGGCATATAACAACTGTTCAACAAATTCTATAATCAGAACTTCGTATGTTTATGAGTAGTGATAGTGATAAATTAAAATACTTAGATGGTAGGCTGTTATAACTGAATTATAAAGGTGTCAAAAGGTTTCAAAATAATCCTGGAACAGAAGCTGTATATCATTTCGTTTTTGTTGTTGTTGCTGTTGTTGTTGTTGAGGTGAATGAGTTATAGAATACTGTCCTCAATCAATATTGGTCTTATGTGTTTAACACCAGTTAGAACTTAGCTACTGTACTTTGTAGAGAAGACCAAATTTCATAACCTAGTTAAAAGTGAATATTTATCAGACATTCATAATATATAAAATTAAAAATAGTATAGGTTTTATCTTTACCTTGTTTTATCCATACTGGACAAACAATAGCACCAATATGATGGAATTTTTTTGGCTCTTGACATGGAACTTCCACGACAATGCTATAAATTTGAAAATATAAATGAATTCTCTTATTAGTAAATGGAATGTGGTTTGGTAATTTAATATCGAATTTGAATAAAGTTTTCAATTTGAAAAAGTGTCATCGAGGTAGCCGTAAAAATTTCTTTCAGATTTCCTAACAGTGAACAACTATTATTTTGTATAGCATTCAACCGAGGATTTTCAGGTCTTAGTGATGTATGTCCGTGATGAAAACTGATTTGAATTTAAAATGTCTCTACGAATCACTTATATTATTAATAATTTTGTGTACAGTGATGGTTAACCGGGGAACAGGTTGCCGAAGTTCTATTTTGAAACAAATATTGTCATTGGTGTTGCTTGGTTTTAATCAGAATAACAAAACTATGTCCCTTCTAAAAACAGCGAAACCCCTAAACTACATACACTTATGTTAAGAAAATGGTATCAGTATATGAAGACAAATTATCCGTTGGACTTGTCAGTGGTCAATGCAGATATATGAATTTACTAAAATGTAACACACATAAAAATGACCCCTTTTCATTTTTATGTATAAACCTAGATACCGTAAACCTTTAGATATTGATGTATCATTCATTAAATCCTATTGGGTTTCATTAAAATACATGCTGACAATTTGAGGTATCAAACGAAGATTTTCTCACGTTTTCAGTCGACTGAGTTTCACAGAAGCTTTTTGTTTTTCACCACAAAAGAACCTACCAAAAATAATGTAACATCTATAATCTAATTTCTCTTTGACAGAGTTTTTATTTAGGTTGTCTTTATTGATTTTGTTACAAATTATTGTTAAAAGAAAGTGTTTCATATACATTGTGAAATTGTGATCTTCATTTACAATTAAATTATTGTTTTATATTAACTTTTCTTTTTTGGTTCGAAGAGTTTTAGGTCATAGAAATTAGTTAGAATATTAGTGAGTTACATAAATATATTATCAAAATACTTTATATTCATTGTATATAAACATTATCTATTTAGTACAGTTGAGGTCAATATAAGGACAAAAATGAGTAATTATTTATTAATATATGTAGTATAAATATTAATTTTATAATTTACAATGAATCACTTTGAATATTTATCTAGTCTGCTGAAGATATAGTGCAATTTTAATAGTTGAAATCATGAGTCAATTAAAGCTAGACCACCATCGAAAACCTGGAAGCGCCGGATGGCCGTTTCTTCCTATCGCAGAACTCCTCAGCAGTGCGCATCCACGATCCCGCCACCCTCCTCCAAGATTCGAACACAGGACCTATCGGTCTCGCACGCGAGCGCTTAATCACTAGACCGCTGAGCCGTCCGGCATTCAACGGTGTTAATGTCTAACTTCAACCAATCCACAAAATCGCGCCACCGTACACCAGTGTCTTCAGTGAGCTGATATCTCACAACAGACCTGGTTGAACTTTACTGGTCACTGCTTCTCACTAGAACTCCGGGAAATGCCTCTTGAAGTCAGTCATTAGTGAGCAGATGATTATTATCAGAAGGGATTTTGTAGAGACTTTTAGAAATTTCAATAGTTGACGGGACGGAATCGTGGATGCGCATCGCTGAGGAGTTCCATACTAGGACGAAACGGCCGTCCGGCAGTCCCAGGTTTTCCATGGTGGTCTAGCTTCAATTGACTCATGATTTTAACTATTGGATTTTCTAAAAATCTTCACAAAACATTTTCTAACATGTTGCAATTGTATTTTTAAATATTTTTTTGAAGACTCTTTATATTAACGCTTTTCAAGTATATTGAGTGTTAACATGTACTACATGTTATAAAGTGTTTGCATGATACGAATATACTTTATAAGAGTAATTGAAAATGCGAAACTTTAATATTTGGAACAGTTTCATCATTCTTAGAATAGTTCTAGTCATAAATGAACCAAGAAGCTTGTTTCAAATATCCATTGATTATGAAGAGTTTATTTGTAGTGTTAACGACAGATTATAATGCTTGAATAGAGTTTCCTTTACCATTCAGCTTCACAGTTAGAGACTTTGCCACTGGGCTATCCGGGCTCCGACCGACCTACTGTAGGACTGAGACGTATTCACAATTGATTGATCACTGGGTCATGATCAATACCATGTGTGTCAAGTGAAGCTGGGTGACACGGGATCGAATCCATCAGGGAGCACCAGTTCTCTCAAGATTACAGATAAACCTTGCTGAAGACTGTCAAATAGCACGAAACCTGTGTCCAGGGTTTCCTGTTGACTAATTCCAACCACCATCTTATCTCAACATAGTGCACGTAATGTTGAGTCACCTAAACTAGTGGTCACATTGCAATTTGTTTGATAGGATTCGACCTGCACTAAGATCAACACCAATGATCAATCAATTGTGAAAAGGAAATAAGTATTAAGTTTTACTGACGGAATCTTATTTGATTGATATTCATACTGACAAATAATTACCAAATCTAATCAGACTAAAGTTTGTATAAACATGATTTAAAATTAAAATATAGTTTGCTGTAAAAGTCATTAATTACTAGAAGTAAGTCACCTAAAAAATACTATCATAATTAGGTAACGTGTATTAAAGATTGTAATTAGCTCTAGAGTATGCAAAAACTCAAACCTTAGGTGAAATTCAAGCATAAATCATCATTACTCAATCAAGTGAACCAAATATACTTATAGTAATTTTTCCGTGTTTGTTTAGTAGTTGATGTTTAACCATTAAAAATCAGTTGGTATAGTTTTTTTTACCAAAGAATTAATGTGAAGTTTTTTATCAGGTTACTTGTCATTTCAACATCGTTGTATCGAAAAGTAATCTCCTTAATATAAGTTTCAAGGACTTTCTACATCATACCTTTAGTTGTTCTTAAGTAGTTGACGATCTTTATGTTAAGAGTTAAAATGACCATGTAATGTGCCATTACAAGAAAACTGACTAGACTAAACCAAAACCTTAGAAATGTTTTCTTGAAAACTATATATAGTCAAATAAAATAATGGATTTTATATTGTGCTATAGTACTAAGTATTTTTTCGTGTATTCACTGCTACTTAAATCGGATTTCAGATCAGTGAAGATCTTCTGTAAAACATTTATCCAACTGTACGCTTTCAACATGATAGGTACTTTGTATCAGGTTTTATTTTTGCTATTAACTCTTGATAAACTTTAAGAAAAGTATGAGATCATAGAGTTAAGAACTAATTGGATGGTCAAAAAATAAACTATAAAATGTCTCATAATTAGTTTTGTTTGGAAGGCTTGTTAGTTTTTAATTAAGTGAAATCTGGCCATTAAATTCATATATTGGACTCATAATTAATTTACGTAACTATAGTCAAGTTACGACAAAAGAAAATTACAGGGAGTACTATTGAGTATAGTTCTAGTAGGTCACTTTTATTAAACACTTTGTACACGTTTTTCAGTAGCATCATAATTTCATAAGTGATAATTTAGCTTCAGAGCTCATAAACATCTTAAGTTTAACGTGCTACTGATCATATACTCATAGTTTGAAATAACAATATTTTTAATAAATGTGACTTGGAACAGTCTAGTGCCTTTTGACATTCAATGTATAGCGTCAAGAAATACAAACCTTTCCATGAATGAATAATTTGGCCCATCTCCATCCGGAACTACCTTCAACGTTTTGGCACGATTATGAGAACGGATTGATTGAATTGACGATTCGTTAGGTAATCCTCGTGCAGCTAGCCCTGCTTGCGCTCTATTCAAGGAATTTGTGGGATTTGTTGATTTAGAGAATAAATTACTTCCAGCATATAGATTACGCAACTCTAAACGTTGGTGAAAACGATCATGTCTGAATGCACCTTTAATAACTAATTGAGGATGCCATACTTTGTCCACATCAAGTCGAACACCACCTCCGGCCATATCGACCAAAGTACTTTCAGTGACTCTTGAATCAGTTACTGGCCACTCAGCAAACAATGTTAGACTTGCACGGCAAACCTGAATAAAAATATTTTAACAAAATAAATCCATTTTATATGATCATTGCATTAATCAAAGATCATTGGATTATAAATGAGTTACATTTTTTGTTCAAATTTCCCTCAAAATTATGAGGGGTTAGTAGGGACTGTTAGGTTTCGAATTTTACATTTATACAACCTATGAAAAAAACAGTAAGCATCGAAGAGTTGTTTTGTCTTAATACTGAACTACTTGGCTGGTGAGTTACAGATTTTATATTTTCTTATAAACCTTAGTTAAAAACTTTATTTTGGTGGAATACAACTAAATACAAGCAGCATGAGAAAGTTTATTATATTGTCAACATTCATAGATAAGCAATCTATCTGTCTGCCGAGATATCTCTTAGCTGAAAACAAATTAAGAACGTTAGTTTAAATACTGTTGTATAGATCATACAGAAGTAAAAAATGAATTTGCTTGAGCTATTGAAGTATATTGTTGTGATAAAATAGAATAAATATGTATTATTGAATAAATCTTCACACATAAACGCTTTGTTGTTTATGGATCATTCTGGACTATTACAATCATATAGAACGTTTGGATTTTTGATAATTTTCTGATGTGTATATGATACTGAGGATGAATGTCTTGCAAAAGCTTTAGTCTTATAGGTAGTATGATAAAATAAACCTGAAATTTACTAGTCTTATAATTTTAATAGTTGAATTTATGAGTTGATCTAAGTTAGACCACCATTGAAAATTTCATACACATAGTTCCCTTTATTATCTTAAAGAGAGCAAGAACAAAGATTGGTGCAGAATAATATGAATTCATTTTATTTCGTTAGGTTCTCATCAGCTGCTTACAACCTTAAATATTTGGAAATCAACGTTATTACAGATATTGACATATTTATACATAAGAGGGTGATTAAAGATGAATAAATGTATCATGGTGTAGCAAAGATTCCGATAGAGTTAATGAGGTCATAAAATTTTGTCTCGAATAAATAGAGTTTGAGAGGTGGTGGAGAAGATTTGTAGCTCAGGTGGATGATTTTGGTGGAGTTTGAGAGGAAAAGTTCCAGAACATTGAAATAGTGATTAGAACGTAAGACGTAGGCTCTCCTACGTCCGATTCAAAGAACATATTCCGAAAAGTTTAAGGTTAAATGGATTAAACGCATCCAGCAGTGCCATCGTAAGACATCTCCTTGACACAGGACATGAAGTTGATATACTGAAGTCCTTCAATGTGAATTATAAACAATCAAGCTCCAACCTCTTAAAATTTGCCGAAGCAATAGCAATCAAACGTTTAAAACCAGATCTATGTATACAAAAAGAGACAGTAATAAATCTTTCTTTACCCTGGTAACAATAACCCCCTTTTCTATTCATTTATTTCTATTTATTTATTGCGTCATTACACCAACTCTTTTAAATTACATCATACATATCTGACTTAATTCATATTTCCTTTAGTACCATTAATCTATTTTTATGAGTTCTAATTACTATTTCAATGTTCTGGAACTTTTCCTCTCAAACTCTATTTATTCGAGACAAAATTTTATGACCTCATTAACTCTATCGGAATCTTTGCTACACCATGATACATTTATTCATCTTTAATCACCCTCTTATGTATAAATATGTCAATATCTGTAATAACGTTGATTTCCAAATATTTAAGGTTGTAAGCAGCTGATGAGAACCTAACGAAATAAAATGAATTCATATTATTCTGCACCAATCTTTGTTCTTGCTCTCTTTAACACCATTGAAAACCTGAGAGCACTGGACGGCTGTTTCATCCTAGTACGGGACTCCTCAAAGTGCTCATCCACGATCCTGCACAAAAGGGACATGAACCCAGGATCTTCGGTATCGCGCGCGAACGCTTAACCTCTGGACCACTGGGCCGACATTTAATGGTGTTAATATATAATATCAATCGGTCCGTTATCTTGCGCAACCCTACATCTACTGTCTGAGATTGTTAACTGTCTTCACCCGACACGGATTGGACAGCATTGTTCATGGCGTTTGATGTCCATTAAGTTCTTCAAACTCTCTTATTTTCATTATCACTATTTTTCAGATCGTTTCATTTTACTATCAATATATTACAAATAATTATATTTTTCATGTTAGTTTAGACAAATTGAGCATTGAATAAGTGAAATGATTAAAAGATTTCATAGAATAAAAATGAAAACATTTATCAAATAATCGATAAAGGGTTTCAACTTGAGATATAAACAATTTACAAAGATCACATTTATTGATTGATATTTGAAAAACTATTTAACAAACATTGTGATTATGAAATGAATAAACTAACTACTTAACCTCAATGTAGCTTATAACATAGTTTGAAGAAGATATTAAGATTATCGGAGAAAATTAAACCATCGATTAACATTTGTATGGATACTTTAATTTATACTGTTGTCATTAAGTCAGTTGGACTTAGTTAATTTGATGACATGAATTAGACATATTTCTGATGTACTCCGATTATGAAGAAATTCATTTATAAGAAAAATATATGTATTTGAGCTTGTTGATAATAGCATTGTTGAGAATACAAAACTTGTGGTCAAAGTGATAAGAATTTACAGGGTAAATTGTATGACACTAAAAATAATAGTGATAAATTAGATCAAAACTAGTGAAGATTATGATAGTCCAAAATAGAGCAGTCCAATGTATACATCGCGAACATTAACAGTGAACGTGATAATTCAGTAAATATTAAAAAGTTATTTGATATTCACTGTGTAGATTGTATTGAATCAAGTTGATGGAATAAAACTCTAATCGTTCCCAATACATAACTCTTGATATTTGTTGGTTTCCCGACATAAAAAAACCACTGAACATATTCAATAATCAGATCAGTACTGAAGGTATGAAATTCAAAATAAAATATCACTATAACCTATAAACACACCTTTCAATAAGTTTATTAAATAAGGTTTATGTTATACGAGACATAATGATACATGATGAACACAAACCAACATTCATTGACTAATACATGACATGGTTCGAATAAGGAATATATCTGAACTGTCTAGTCAGTGCACTATTTCATGTAAACTGCATTATTAATTGAAATAAATAATATTTTAAGATCTGTTTAACAAATGAAAATGGATAGACTAACTACTTAATCTCAATGTAACTTACAACATAATTTGAGGATAAGAATTTATACTCTTGTCAATATCTATATTATATTGGAAATATAGAGTTTTGTTTTAATAAAAATCACTGTTCATAAAAAAATATTGTATTCTATTTGTTAAAGCTAACTGTTATTAACAAAGATGAATAATGGCAAACAGTGGAATCAAGAACGCGCGTTTCGTCTTATTTTGAACTCGTCAACTGAATGCGCTTGCATCTCAGAGTTGATGTTCACTCTGTGACTCGAACCCAGTACTGTTCACTTCAAACACTATCGCGTTATCCACTTAGCTACTGAGTTCTGATAGCCAGAAAAGTGTTATATTCAGCTGCAAAAACTACAAATCTATAATTTGATTATTACTAGTATTCATACTAATACTTTCTTCAAGATCATTTTAGTATTCAACTATTATTCTAGTATTTACTCTTGTCTATTATCTACTTTTATAACATTTTATACTTTCGTCTATTCTAATTTATGTTTCCTTTCCAGATCTATTCTTTTAAATGAAAACTGTAATGAACAACAATAATTAAATCTGCTTTTTTTCCTTTTCCATACTAATTGTTTGTTCACTGGTGTGCTAATGCAAAATGTAATTGATAATAAGAATTAATTAACAGTTCCGTACATCTGTATGTTTGTAAAGATCTAAGTTGTTTTCATCATTATCATATAATGACAATAAGTGTACAGTCATTTATTAATATAACACAAATTCTATTTTGTTTTTACCGTAGATCTGATTTCCGTTTTTTTGTTTTCGTACATAAATACTGGGATGAAACTCGGTTTCAAGTGTTTCATGTTATTTTTACAAATAAAAGTTACTCTTCACACTTGAATGTTTCAAAATCCGTTGTTCTTTGGGTTTAGAATAGTTCGACTGAATATATTTGATATCAGAAGTTAAATATCGATTGAAAAAAAATTGAAAAATGAGAGGAACTGAACATTGGTCTTATTAAAAAAATACTTTAAGAATGTGTAAATATGACCACAAGAGAACTAGCAAAAAGCTTTAGCTTCAGCGATAAACATAGTCGTTTCAGAGTATAATGCTTGAATTTACTGGTGTACATTTACAGTTTCAGTCATTTTTGTGACCATGTTTCGGATAAACAACAGCGTTTAAAGCAAACAATAGTGGTTACGAGTCCTAGAGTGAACGACAGATTGGGCTACAGGTTTTCCCAACTGACGAGCACTTAATAGGATAGACGGTGCAACCTGGATTGCTCTGATAGTCACATTCTATCTGTTCTATATTAACATGTGACATAATGGTTGTATCAAGGCCATTCGCACAGAGTGCACATATGTCAACTAAGACTAATCAAATTTCAGTTAAAGTATCTACATCAGGACAACTCAAAACTCTTTCACATTGAATTAGGGTGAAAAGGCATATGTATGGCTTTATATAACACATTTAAATTTATTCTTTATTTAGTTAAGTTTATACTCTTTGATTAAACAAGAATTGTCTCATATCACTGTATACGTTATAAACAATAAACTATATTTAATATTCTAGGTAAAAACTAAATCACTTGGTTATAATATGTAACATACTAGGAATGTCATCATTTGATATTGGGACTAAATTGATAGAATAGAAAGTGTAGCCGTAATTTTCAACAAATTTCAGAAAAGGGACTTGATAATTTGAAAAGAATAGATATTTGCTGAGTATTTTATTATAAATAAATTACCGCCGAATAATATTTAGTATTACTATTATTCTAAATAGCTTAGTTAATAAAATAATATAGCGAGTATCTATTTAACAACATGTAAGTAATTACTGATATATGATCTTATTG